CGCGCTGAATCTGAGGACCGACGGGACCTCCCCGTTCACACCCCCCTTTTATATTATGTCTTTATTGTATTTTTTTAACTGGAATATTTTAACGTGCTCTTTGCTTCTGTGATTCTTTGTACAAAAAAAAAAAAAAAAACACAACAAACATTACAAATCCGTGTGAAGACTTGAAGCCGTGAACAGCGAGGGCTCGGTTTTCTGGGGCGGCTGCACAAAAGACAAAAGACAAAAAGACTCCTATGTGCCAAAAGAAAAAGGAAACCGGCTCTGAGACTCGGGGGGGTCAGTGTTTCCTCTCAGGACGAGTGTCGGTCCGAAGCCCCTCCGGTTGGTCTGTTTAGCTTCTGCTCACCTAAAGAAAACGTTGTTACACATCGGGCCCTGTGGGGGGGGCGCCCTGACCTCTGACCCCAGCGCTGTGCGTCAGTAAAGGCTTCCCTCCCCTAAAGTATTCGGGATGGGCGTCCATCCCCCGAATGTTTACCGTGTCCCGACAAGAGATGCATGTTGGTCTGTGCCTTTCGGAAATACGTTTGTAAGAAATGTTTCTACTTCGCTTTGGCTGTACTCCGTCGAGTATCAAATACATTACGGGCATGAGCAGTGGATGTGTTGCTTCTGTTTTACTGGAAAACAATAAATCACTAATTTCGCAAGTGGCTTCTTTTTGTTTTTTTATGTACACAAATTAGAAATGAGTCTCTCCACTAGAGGGCGCCAAACATGTCAACAGCCATCATTTCTATTCAATATATTTCAGAAAAAAAATCTGTAAACCTGAATGTAAATACAAGAAAAATAAGGAATAATATAAAGAAAACTGCCCTGGATCCTGATATGTAAATAACAATGTTCTTATTTAACTGTTTCTAAGTTTTACGTTTCCCCCAAAATGTTTTTATTTCAACACAACAGTTGTAGTTCCCTTTAAAAAAAGAAGACAGAGACTTTCCTTTTTTCTGTTTCCAGAGACAAAGACGGAACAAAACAAAATGTTTGAGGCCAAAATTGAACAAAATCTTTATTGACCAAGAAGAGCCACAACAAATGATAGAATATACAACCCCACCAGCACGCCAGCGTTGTCATAGAAACTGTACAATGTGAAGGAATGTATGGAGCAGGAGGTCATGATCAGTCTGACATCCATCTGGATCTGGAACAGGGTCTGGATCTGGGTCTGGATCTGGAACAGGGTCTGGGTCTGGATCTG